TTGAGAGCTGAGCCGTGTATAACGCTGTGGCCGAGAGTGAAAGCAGTAGTCTATCGCTGAGATAAGGACTCACGTCGTATAGAAATGACAATACATTCTCATTGTCTACGAGTGCTGTTATAGAGAACCGAAGAGTTATTACCAAAAGACATATCCTTAGGAATATCGCCGCAAATAATCGCCATTTTTTCTGATCTCTTTTCACGTATTGATCCGTGTCTTCAAACCAATCAACAAAAGTATTTTTGACAAATTTCTCGAGTTTTTTGATACAATCAATGAGTTGATGGTGTGATTGCTTATTGTGTTCCCACTGTTTGTACAATACTTTCAAATGCGTTATTCCAGCCATTGTTTGAATTCAATTAATCTGAATTGAATATACAATTTATTATACAATTTACAAAAAATATGTCAAATAATGTATATGGTAATGCGAAATCATATACGACTTCTTATAGAATTTAAGGCCAACAATTATTTGTTAATGAATTTAGCAAAATTATATAAAATTTTAAAATTATGTCATATATTTTTAGAAAATTAGCTTTAATTTAAATTATAATATATGGATCATATAATATTATATTTACAAACTATTTTTTATCTTAAAAATAATGAAGATATTACGTGTTCAACACTAGTGTTACCACATAATCAACTTCAAATTTTTTAAACAAATAGATGCTTAATTATCAAAATTATTTCTCATAAATACATGTTCATTCTGCTAATTGTAATGTATTAAGAATATAGACACATATTAAAAACCTATGAAAAATAATTGTCAGTTTATAAATCATATTTTAAATGGTAAACATACAGTACAAATGACATATTATTACAAACCAATTACATAACAAAGTAATATATTAATTTGTATTAATGAAAAAAATAAATAAAAATAATTTAACTAAATTATTAATTTCATGCATAACATCCTCACAAAACATTATCTATAGAATTTATATTAATCATCATTAATATAATGTGTAAAATAATTGGGCATTATTTTGTTTAGGCAGGTTACTTTCTTATAAATTAATATTTTTATAACGAGTATCACATAATATTAGCTTAGGAAAGGTCGACTTTGCAGGTAGTAAAGTATCAATTATTTGCATACATTATAAGTAATATAAATTATATTTACATTTTCTCACTCGAGGCTGTGATTCTGGATTCCTTAAGCAATTCCGTCATTCCGTAAGCAAATGGCGACACTATTTGTTGCAAATAAAAATATTTTTATATTTCAGAATATAATTCGAAATTGCAATAAAATTCTATCTTATGATTGATTACTTTTGAAAAATACTTTTATTAAACACGATATAAAGTAATTAATAATTTAAATATAATGTAATATGGGTTTATTGCGATTAAATTAACTATAATTAGAGTCAGGCTCTTCAACTCCGCCATCTTTCTCACCTTGAGTAGAGTGCTACAATGTTTATTTATCTATCTTAATGTTTTAATTACATTACTAATGTATATTAAAACTTTGTAGCACTCTACTCAAGGTGAGAAAGATGGCGGAGTTGAAGAGCTTGAAATTAAAGCTATAAATTATTGCATATTATAAATATGGCATGCAAAAGGATTTTAATATAATTTTCTTTATATAACCAGGAGAACGCATTTAAAAAAACTTTGAAAAAAGTTTTTAACTAAACATTATGTTTGTTGTATCATGGTAAGCATAAAACTATTCATCACAAATGCCATTACTATTATTTACAAAATATTGTCAATAAAGAGCTCGTAATGAAAGATAAGAGTTGACTAACAGATAGATTGTTATTTAGATAGTGACTGAGAATTTGAATAATTTTATTTAAAATATTTCACTAATTTTTAATTTAAATAGGTTTATATTTAATAATTTCCGTATACAGTATATAGCCTTTAAAACAGTACAGTACATGTCCAACCGTTAATATCTATTAATTATGTTTTTAAATAAAATAAATGCCATTTGTATTAAACAATAAATGAATTTTTAATTTACAATTATCTAAACACATTTATCGATATTTCTAAATATAATTTGGTAATAGACCTTCTGTTAAAATATAATTAATATATTATAAGCTATAACTTATATTATAACTATTTTTTATTATAAAAGTTTATAACTTTTTAAATGTAAACTTATTGTCAAATTTCATTGTTTTCAATAAACTGTTTCTTGAGTTTGTGATAATTCTTATACCAACTTTCAGTGCCGTCCTATCCGTCAAAATCAAAGTAAACACAACATTAGATTTGCAAACAAAACATAATATAATTAATTATTTTGCAAACCATTGATATCTTCTTATTAAACGGCAAATCAGATCTCCACTCATTGAACGACAGGTAATACAAGACGTAAAACAGATACGAAACTAACGTAAAAACTTTCATCTCTCGTAACAAACTTTGAGCTGAATTTCTCGCGTCTGTCGCCCATTGAATACCATTCAATTGGATTGACTCCCGGATGTAGGCGTCGACCAGTGGCCGAACGGACGGGTCGTCGGGAAACGCGTGCGGTTCGCGCGAATCGCCGTTTCTGTCCCACCAAAGCAAAAGTGTGCCAAAATCGTAGCCCCGGTAACCGATACACGAGTACTCGTAATCGCACACAACTATACCGTCCGATTCGGTGACCATTAGGTTGGCTGCGCTCATGTCGTTGTGCGCAAAAGCGATGGGAAAGTCGTGGTCTTTGGTTACCAAACGTTCAGTCCATTGCATTTCGCGGTATATGTCGTGCGCTTTCAGTGTCTCTAAATTGTATTCATTGAACATTGAGTTTATGTCAAACCTGTCGGTCGCCAATCGGTAAAAGTGGTCGTAATAGCGAAATATCCACTTCGGGTTGCGTTTAATGGGCACTTCCAGGCTGTGTATGCCAGCTATGATTTTTGCCAACTTTACCATCATTTCACCTTTATTTTTGTCCGCATACGACCAAAATATATTGTGCTGTTTTAGTAACGTGTTTACGAATTAGTTATATAACATTATATTTTCAAATAATTACATATTTTACATTTAAATTAGGTTACAAGATAAAATATATTTAATATACGTGAAAATATTTCATAATTTGTCCGCTTTCGAAGAGTCAGTTTATTTTTGGTCCCAAATTCCTATGGGATGTAATGAGAGCTACAATAGTATCGTTGAGTCTCTCGTTTTGGTCGTCACCGGAATTATTAAAATCTTTCTTTTGGTATAATTTTATTGTCACTTCTTGTGGTTCGTCGCCGACGACGACACCGCCGACAGACCGGCGCTTGTCTTCATTGACACCTCAATAGTATAACTGATTGGTTAGACCACCGCTTATTATCTTCACGTCGATGTCATCGGCGGTTAACTTAAGCCAAACGCCGCCCAAATAGTCGGCACATAAACGAAGGCATTGTTCGTTGATATCGGCGGGTGTTATACCTCTTTGCCATACATTGCTATCCATTTTCAGTCAATTCCTGTTATTTCGTAATATCTTTTGCTGAAATATACTAACATATTGTATATGATGATAATAAAATAATATAAACGTTTACATTTATTTATAGCAATTATTTTCATACCAGTGCTAAACAAGTGTTTTGCAATTTGCAAACAGTTTTAATGCCATTTTAATACAGTATATCTCTAAAAACTTTAAACTAAAGCGATTACACAAATTGTATAATACAAATACAGTATATACTTTAGATAAATTAAGATATACTTTAGACATATTAAATATTATGCAATGAAACATAAACAACCATGCACGTTTTATGATAACTAATTTTAATGTTAACGATAATATTATTATTGCAATAAAATGATATTCTTTACTGTTTTTCTGATATTAAATGATATATTGTGGCTGAAAAATAATTTACTTATGAGAATAATGATGATGATGATGTGTATGAAAAATAATTAATAGAGTACTACCAGTAATGATAATGGTGATGTTGTTGCTATAATATAATTTATTAATAATTTAAATTGTTGAATTTATAGCGACTGTTTGTCAAATTGTTATCATCATCAATAATATGATATAAATTAATTTGTTACAATTCAGCTAAAACAGATTAATAATATTAATATACAATGTATTAATTACGTTATAATAAATTTTGGATATCTTTTTGTTACACTTTGTCAATGTTATTAGTATTAATGGTATTTATAAGTCTATTTAAAAAAGTAGATATCTAAAAAGTAGATAACATAGTCAATTTAACCAAGTTGACTCAATTTTTACTCAAATTATTTAGATCGTTTAAAACTTATAATATTTCAACAATTTAATATACAAGAGAGCGATAAAACTTAAAATCTATAATAAATAAAACAAGAATTAAAATATAAAATGTAATTAATTTATACAGACTTTATATCCTTGAAATCTATTGATACGAAATAATTTCCAACAATAAAATCCATCCTTTTTGGGACCCAATCTCTCAATCATTGTTTGCAACTAAAGAAATAAATTTTATTAAATAAACATTAGAATAAAATTACAAACAATTTTTGAAAAAATAATTTTAATAAATGTTGTAAATGCATACTTTTATTTTTAAACCATAATTATTTTGACATTTAATTAAGTAAGAATTCAAATACACAAATGAATTCTTGGTTTGCGTACAAATCATTGATGAATAGTGTATAATTATGATCAAGGTTAATAATAATACACTTGTGGTTGAGATCGTTGCAATTCTTACAAAAATATGTTGTTTTGGATTAAGTGATAGAAATATTAAACAACTCAATGCACCGCCAATTGGTATCCAATATATGGCAAAATATTTGGACCAATAATTATTGTTGTATTCATTGATTTCAAGAAATAAATTATTTAATTTTATTAAAAATGTTATCGCATTTTGTTTTTTCTTTTGCTTTTTAATTAGCATTTGATTTATCGAAATATATTTTAAAGATAAATAGTATACAATAATTGTGTAATATATTATTTGCCAAACAATTACCTTAACCGTAATATTAGCCAAAATAGTGCTCAATAAACTTTGCGGTATTCCTATAAATATTATCTCATAGACAGACAAATGCAGTGAAAATATAAGAAACACTCCGAGAAATACCATAAATGTCTCAAATAATATAATAATTTTCGCAAATTTAATAGCCTTTCGACTAAAGGAAACCAATTTATTAACCAATGGTTTGTCATAAATACCCAAATCTTTAGGCGTTATTAAACCGGAAAGCATTTGAAATACTCGTAAATCTGTTGGTTTTATACCACGTTTATAAGTATAGTAATTAAGCATTTGTGACAAAATAATGATTGAAGAGTATATCAAAAGCAACATGGTGCTAAAATTTCTGTGGCCAAAAAAGTATGCAAATGATCCCATAATAGCGTTATAATGTGGACTTTGATTACCAATTATTGTCAATAATATTTCCCGTAAACAACACATAATAACGATAACAAACAGTAGTTTGGGATTATTAATAGGATGTCTATTGAGAGCATTAATTGGTTTGTATAACGAGAGACCAATACTATACGGATGAGTACCGGCGTCAGGGATTATTATAGATGAGGGTAACACCTCTTTTAATTTGATGGTATTAATAAATTTAGACATTTTTACATAACAGTAATCATTTAAATTGATAGATGATTTAAATCAATTTTATTTAAATTATAGTAAAATTAATTACCGTATAGAATCTGCACTAGGGTGTATTATTACTGTGAAGTTATTGCAATAAAATGAAATAATACTTTTGTTAATTAAAGTATACAACTAATGTGTATGTTAACAAATAATTTTTTACACAAATAATATTGATGTAAAGTATGTGTTTATGAAAGCAAGCGATCATTAATGTTGTTAACATTATTGCTATAAAATAGGTATTTATGGAATTCATAATGATACTTCAAATTACTCAATTTATAAAGGTACTTTTTGGAATTACTATCGTTACATAAATAATATATAATACAAAGTAATTTGGTAAAGTTTACTTGAAATGAATTTTTGTAATTTTAAATAATAATAATATAATGTGTATTGCAAAATTATCAAAGTAAGTAAGTTATAAAATTATATTACTAATATGATATTATTTATTCGTTTCATTTTATTATATAACAATTTTGTTATATAATAACTATAAAAATTATATGTTTAAAAATAGTAAATAAATAAGTTTGATCAATTATTATTTTTAATTAATTACCAATTAAACAAATGGTCAAACAATAAACTTATCATAATTTCTAAATAAAAGTTATTTGAACAATAAAATCTAACATTTCATTTTAATTAAAAATAATTAATAGATTAATATTACTATTTTATAATTTTATTAAATATTTAATTTTAAAATAATTTTACTTTATTTGATAATATTTTACTTTGTACTCCAAATGTTAGGCACCCCTATATGTCAACACATTATTTATTAATCGTGCGAACATACCATCAAATAATGTGTTAATTTATTTATTGAGATCATTAATAAAACAAACAACTATTTATCGATAATTTACAAAACATGGTGTCCTTCACTATACTGTACTTCAATACATATTTAATAAAATAAAATCATTTTAAAATCATTAATGTAATTATTGTTTATATTATTCTTCAATTATTTATTGATTGACAATTGTGTTCACATAAACTGCAAAAATATATATACATATGCCTTGATTGACACAAAAACATATTGATTTTTAATGTTAAAACCCATACAACACGACAACAAATGCATAGAAAACTATTATTTCTATCGCTTTTGACGGCAAACTCTATACTAATCCACGTTTTGAGCGAAAGTAAAAAATTAAAAACTATTTAATATAAATAAATTATATAAATAAAAAAACCAAATAAAATGTATTCCTACATTAGAGACCATACCGACAGTCAAACTAAACAATGGTCGCCGTGAGATGCCTATGGAGGGGTTCGGCTGTTGGCGTATTAACTACGACAGGGTTTGGTCACTCGGCTCGTGGCTATTCAACGACAACCAGAGAGCGGCCCGAGTGTTGGTGGAGGCCATCAAATCCGGGTACCGATACATAGACAGCGCCTACTTTTACAACATTGAAAAAGCCGTGGGTTATGCCCTGCGCTACGCGTTCCGGCACCGGATTGTCAAACGGGAGGACATGTTTGTGGCCACAAAGGTGTGGAACAACTATCACAGTAGGGATCGGGTGGTGTTCGGACTAAACAAGTCTCTAAATGATCTGGGACTAAAATATGTGGACCTGGCTATCATACACTGGCCCACTGGGTTTGAAGATGCTGATAATGTGTTTCCCATGTACTGGAATATGTCTAATATCCCGCGAGTGTGGCGTAAGAATGCATTTGTAGAGACCTGGGAGGGAATGGTCGACGCGCAGCGCCAGGGAATGGCCAAAGCCATCGGTGTGTCCAACTTTAACATAGATCAGTTACAGGTGCTCATGGATTCATCCCGGGTTAAGCCCGCTGTGAACCAGGTTTGTAAAATACTTAATTTATTAAAAATTTATATTTTATGTTTCCAGAGTATTTGTAATGTTTTATGACGTTTTTAAAACTAATCAAAAATTACTAAAATTACAATTATGTTTTTTAGTTATTTTAAAAAATAATGTTTAATATTAAATAAATAGTATTTCACACTATTTTAGCCTATCTGGTTTTACTAATATTGAAACTCTTATACAGTGAAAGCTCGATAGAGTAAGGCTCAATAAAGTGTTTATTCGATATAGTGGCCAAAATTTTGTTATTTTTGGTTAGTTTTGACTATTTTTAAGCTCTCTATAGTGTTTTATGATATGAGATAATTATTTTTTGTCTTGCAATGATTTGAAATGAGAAAGTTTCATTTAAATTGGTAAACAAATATAAAATTTTTATCTCAAAAACATTAAACAATCAAAATAAATGATTATTACATTTTTACCAGTATATACACTTATTTTCACTACTATTCTACATACATTCGCTATAGTGTTCATTCGATATAGTGTCCTAAAAACTTCTCCAACTGCTCAAGCACTATATCGAGCTTTCACTGTATAAAAATCATGGTATAAAACATACTATACTAAAAATTTTTAGATGTCGCTAGTATAAATAAATAATCATGGTGTATTTAAAATGTACTTTAGGTTGAGTGCAATCCATATTACAATCAGAAAGAGATGTTAGAGTTTTGCAAACGAAACGGTATCGTAATGACCGCATACTCACCGCTACGCCAGGGCTACGACCTGTTAGATGACCCGCAACTCCGGCGTATAGGCCGGCGACACAACAAGACGGCGGCTCAGGTGGCGCTGCGATGGAATACACAGCGAGGCGTTGCTGTCATACCTAAGAGTGAGCGCAGGCGCAGAATGAGAGAGAATATCGATATATTTGACTTTGAATTAACCGCCGATGAAATGCAGACAATTAACTCGTTTAGACAATTGCCAAAACTGTTGACTTTGGGCACCGCTAGAAGTCACCCTGATTATCCTTTTAAGGATCAGTTTTGGTGATGGTTTTATTTGTGGTTATTTTAGTTTTATTACTCAATGAATTATTAATATCTACATAAGAACAATATCTTAAATAAAATATTAATTTTTATTCAAAATAGGATCATTAACTATGTTGACATTAATTATTATTAAAGTATACTTATCTGTTAAATCAATAAAATAGTCTAGTTTGTATTGTATAATATTTTTGATAAACTAATTAATAATTTAGACTACATCGTTGAAAAGTCATTTCCTGTGGTATAGTGATACCATGTATCAATCCAAGTCACTTAATATTATGAATCATAATTTATGATAGACTTGTTTGTCCTAAATTATCTAATTTAGTAATAAACATTGTGGCATTATGACGAATGCATAATAAATTAGCGGTAGTATATTATATATATTACACGTTCCTTGCCAATTTTATAAACAACATTTAAGTTGCTTTACTGAAAATTTTTAGGCAAATGCATTAAAAATTTTAAATTAAAAATTTAAATATTGAGTTTATTTAGTTGTTGAGTAGTTTGTTTATTAAATGTTTATTTGAAAGTTAAAAATAAAGTGACCACATGTCAGACTATAATGTCAATAGAAGTTGTGTTGATCTGACTTCAGCGAGCAATTTGACCAATTGGGTGGAGTACCCAACGGCCAGACCTGTGGGCCTCGTATGTAATCTCTATCCGCCGTTAATCACATACAATGAATGGGAGACAACACTTGCGGACAACACATCTATTGTTAACTATCAATATTGCGGTCCATTCGTTGTGTTGTTGCAATCCGTCGCTCAATATACCAATGCTAAGTATATAATAAATATTTCTAAATATTATTAAAGCATTTTATATAAAAGGTTGAATGTTGCTCAAAATAATGACAAGCCTTTTACATTAGTCCGACTTATATTAATAGTATACAGTATTATATAAAATTATTTACAAAAGAAACCTTTTAAATTAAAATAAAATGTTTATACATAATGTACATAATGTTTGTACATAATGTAATAAGATTTAAAACATAATGTATTAATCCATAATATATTATACCAATGATAACATTATATATTGGTTGATCAGTTTCATTTTCACGCGTATGTACCCGAGCTCATTTGATATGGCATACGACGTATACTTACAATTTGCTAGGGGTGACCCTGTTGATATTATATTAATGCCGATCGACGGTTTATTGATTGGTCAATTTGTGTCATTTGGATTTAAAATGAGTCGATTTATCGATTCAATGGACGGCGACGTCCTTATCAGCAAAATGAGATTGAGTTGATTATAACATTTTTACATTCATGATAATTTAATTATTATTTAATAATTTGCTATATTTATTAATTCATTATAACCCAAATCAGTCAAACGTTCGCCGCTTATGTTTGTCGACTGTTGGGATAAATGGATATATATTTTAATTATATTGTCTTTGATATCGATTGGAGTGATGTTTGGTCTGAGGTATCGATCGTTGAGTCGATGTCTGCAAACCATTTGGACGTTTTCTGCGGTCATTCTCTCCGATTCTTTTGAATTGAAATTCATAAACAAATGGTTTGATCGCATGTTTGCCGGCATTTGGCTATTGGTTTGTACGCTATTATTATCGCTATATTCGGGCGATTTGTACGACACTCTTATGAGGGGTCAGTCGTACGACCGGTTGGAAAATACCACTCAATTAGGCACTGATGAGCATTGGAGTAAATTAAACATATGGTCATTTGATTACAATATGATCGTTGACAGTATGTTTGGCACCGATGAGGCCTCCAACAGCATTTCGTATCGTTTATCAACGATCACGACTGGTGTCGGTTACGTCGAGGCGCTTAATATCTCTTCTCAAAAGCAGGTTACATAATAATGAACATGTTAATTAATTTTGCATAAACAGTCAATATAAGAAACAGTATATATTTCTAATAAAATCAATTAACTATTATAATGGTGATCAAACTATACATGTTTATTTGATTATTTAATTGAAATAGATGATGATCGACACATTGGATGATAAAGCGGTGATAGCAGTGCCATATTTGGTGGGCTATTATCTCATACACAACATATGGGAGGGCAACGACCGGATCCCCGGTTATGACCAACTCTACGACGACTATAACAGGGATGGCATCGAAGGCCTCAAACTGTATGTGTCGGACACCAGAGACAAAGCGTTTTTGTATTTTTTGGGACTTAATGCCGATTCGTTGGATCAGAAATTTTTTTACTAATTTCAATCATATGTTTGTATTATATCAATAATTCATTGACTATAATATAGTTTTAATTTTATTAATACTAAATATAAATCTTTAATTATTATATTGTGTTTTTTAATCGTAGACTGACTGGCCTTC